GCCTGTGTTATGTCATCAGCATGCACGGTATCGACAGGTGAAATTGACACCTGAGCACACGCTCGTGCGAGGGGTCATCTCAATAGATGTTTTCTTCAAAATGTTGAATATGTGTAAGTATACGTGTTGGTTATGTAAGGGATCATGTGATATCCAAATTTCGCACACCAACAATACCTAATATATACATATATGTATGTGTGTGTGTGTGTGTTTGTTTTGAAATAAACATATGAACTACTGTACATTGGAAAGAATCCTATCACTTGTGTTATCTTATCGATTGATTGTAGAAATGTGCAACGTTTAAATAAATGTTTTGCATGTCAACAGTATATTTCAGTGCAAAAATATGGATGTAATTTGGTCAGTTTAATCTAGTTGTGAACACTGGCCAAAGATTTAACGAAGTCACTGGTGTAGCTTCGTCTAGACTATATATATTCTTCTTAGTACTCCCTTGTCAAAGTTGTCAAGGATGGTTTTACGTCCCGGTTTTGCTCTTGAGGGACGGTCCCTGTCTTATCTGATTTGTTTACAATATTGTAAACTTGTTGGTAAGACATACCAACAGCTCTACAAGTTCTGTAATAAACCCTTTCTAAACTAATGAAAGGTGTACCTCTGTCTTTTTCACGCACAAAAAACTTATAAACCTTTGCAACAATCGACTGCAAATAGTTGGCCATAGTGAAGTGTGATAAAGATGTGCATGCATGACGGGAAACTTATTTATCAAGACTAACATTATAATAAATTAAAGTAACAGAAACATTCAACATTTATTTGTTTAAGAAAAACGCTAATTCATATTTTTACACCGCCTGTATTATTAGCATTAATGTAAAGACTATTTAAGATTTCTGTTGTTGAGTTGTTTTGGTACGAAATTCTCTCCTGTAAACTGCCCTTTAAATGCATGGGAATATTAAATCGATTGAAATAAAAATTAGGTACACTATAGGCGAGTTGATATATTGACATCATAGTACATTTATCACCTTTATAAAGATAGTAAGGCTGAAAAGCATTTTTCTAGCATTTCCGACAGTACTTTAGTCCCAAACACTTGTTGTGAGGTTGAGTTAAATGTCAGGTTTTTGGTTTGGTTGATTATGTATGTTCAGACTGACAACCAGCTCTATTGCAGAAACAGTTCTTCAAAAAAAAGAGATGGCATGAGTGAATGAATGCTCAAAACGGTCTTCAAGTAAAATCTATTTCAATCTAGCATTTCCAAATAATAGTATCATGCGAAGAAAAATAAGTTGTGAAAATATTGAAATACATTTTAAAAATTGCCATCATTGCAACATCTGTGATTTCTGAAGTTGTCAATGAACCTGTGGCAATCAAATGGTAGTTGTCATTGATCAAATGGTCAATCATTCGAGGTGATGATAAGGATGAGTGAAGTAGATACTGAAGTAGATTCATAGACTCGAGCAGAAAGTTGATGACTAGTTATCAGTCTAGGCACAGATATAGTCCTTAGTTTTCTTCATTTTGAACTGCCATGAGGATATTTCATGACAGGCCTGTTGTATGTTTAGTGTTTAGTTCAAACAAAGTTTCCTCTGAAGATCATGAGCATTTAACTCAGTTATGGAACTGTTCAGTGGTTTGGAATATATTCTCCACATCACTTTAAATACAGCTGAGAGACAGGATGGCTGGGGTCAGATCAATAATCACTTAACCATTGTTTGTGAATTGACAATTGTGGCCCAATGATGTGTCCAGGGCTTATGCAAAATGTCTGCATGTGTCTTGTGTCATGATCGGACAAGCTGGCTCAATGCACTGATGTCATTGCTATTTTTAGCAGGGGATTCCCCTCTATCATGACACAGGCTTGGCAGACATTTTCTTTCACTGTCGGGAGAAGTTGTTGAATGAAGGTCAGTGTTTAAGTGTGTTCATGAGATGTGTTTACATATTCAGGGATGTCACTCACTCTGTCAGGTTGGCACTTGTGGAACTTTGAAGACTGTAGTGATGTTCTGAAAGTGTTAGGAGTATCTGATTGGAAGATAGCTATTTTTGAGTCTGATATTTCCCCCACAATGCCTTCTTCCTGGTTTGGATGTGAGTGACACAGAAATCTTAATATAGAAATGTCATCTTTTTAGTAATTCTTTGTTTCTGGGCTTGAATTGTGAATTTTGAATATGAAGAAATCTTATGGATGTAATCCTCACATCTCCTTGTTGTCAAGAATAGAGGCTGACATTAAGTTTGATCACAAATGTAACTTTCTTGTGTAGCCTGCAGGGAAGATACCTCATGTAGGTCAGATAAAAATAATCTTTTTGACAGTCTGAGGAATTGTTTTGTAATGGGAGACTTCAAATTTTGACGACAAAGACCAAACTTTACTGTATATAGTTATCCATTTCCTCAAAACTGTTATTGTACCTGTATGTTATGTATATGTCTGACCTGTACACTGTTATGTGGTACACTATCATGCCTATAAATACAGCTTGTGATTATGCTGTGCCTTGGTTTACTGTTTGCATCAATCATGTATGTTTGAGGTGTAGACATGATTTAGAGCAGCATATCCTGACCCAACAATGTCAACCTCCAGTGTGGTATTAAAGGGTGTCCATGAAGTTTTCTGTAGAATTATGGACCCCTGTTACGTAGTTAATCATTATGACAAGAACTTGTTGACGTTCATGCCTTGTTTCTACAACTAATTTCTATCAGCCAGGTCTCATGATGTAAATCTGAATATTTACTTGAAACATCTTGCGCAAATGTTGACAACGTGTCTCTTATCATTCTATCATTATTCATCATTCCCTTCATGTATTCCCTTATTTCATCATAAGACAGGTTGTTTGATTCAATTCAGATTTAGACACCGTTGCTGATGTTAACAGAGTCTTAAATGATTCTTTGACTTAAGTCTATGTTGGGGCTTTCTGATGGACTCATTTCTCGGATGTTGACAAAATGTTATACATGATATCCGATAGATAATGGTATATGTATAGGTCCTATCAAACTTTGCAAATATCATGAAAATGTCCAATTTATCTCCACCAAAGTCACTGTATTTATGTCATGGTGTATGTGTCAATAGGGTTTACTTGTATTACATCAAGGAGTTACACACTAAAGCCTGCAGTAACAGTGGCATGGTTTACACAGCCCAATCTTCTATGTATCCCAATACATGCAATAATAGACGATCAGTCTGGACCACCAAAATAGTTATACAAGGACAGTCTGTTTTATTGATAAAGCAATTTCATTCAGCAAGTTTGCTGCTAGAACAATTAGCAATTACCCTTTCATGTGCAGTCACTGAGCCAACACACTGCAACTTTGACCTGACCCGTGATTATTATTGAAGGATAAATGTTAAGTACTGTATATATTACCATCTATAAGCCTAATTTTGAGGACCCAAAAAAATATGTCTGTAGAAGGGGGGTCGTCTTATCTATGAGATACAATTTCAAGGAAGTATTTTTTAGCTCGCCAGTGCCCTGCCAGGACGATGTTACAGGTTACCGGTACATCTGTCAGGATGTTTGCCTCGATTACAGCGTTTATGTTGTGAATGATGAATAAAATACATATTAACCTGTACGTTATTTCAACATATTATTACATATTAGTCATTATGACATTTATCGTACAATCAGCTGTGCACACGTTTCCCGGCCATCAAGTTCAAACATGCACAATAATATAGCGGGATGAATTCTGGCGCAGTCATCAGTAAAATATAATCCAGAGTACTATTATTTAAACCAAAGAAATATATCCTAGCATTGTTTAATTTTAATTACAGTTTTTGCACTATAAATGTAAAATATATAATCAACACTAAGGTTATACTGACCCTCATGAACGTGGTAAGTTGTACGCACATGGAATGGGGCAAAATAAGCAAGCCATTTAAATTCACACATTTTTACCGATGTTACTGTAAACTAGCAGTCCATGGAAAACAAGGCGATAATAAGCAAGCCAGTTTGTTGACATGTTATCGTCTAACTACAATGTGTATTATATTTAGCGAAACAAAATATATTATCCATTTTCTGTCAACAACACTTCATTTCTATGCGTGAGTAGACGCAAGATAATTTTGAATTTTTTTAATAATGTGGACCAAAGTTATAATTATTGGTAACCGCAAGTTGTCTGTGGTCTGTGTTTGCCGCGATTAGGACCCAATCACGGGGGGTCAGCTTATTCACGAAACATACCATTTTGACACTGATTTTAAGGGTCAAGTTTGGGGGTCGGCTTATCTATGGGGTCGGCTTATAGACGGTAATATACGGTAAATCGTAATTCCTGCCTTAGACTGTATCTGGGTGACGAACAATTTCATGAAATAAAGGTCTGATCAGAATTGTTAAATAATACATTTAAAAGCACTGACCATCAATGTGTTCAGGGCAATTACCAACAAATGCCAGTACCACACCTGTGAGGACCGCATTGTTCTCGGATTTCAACTTCTTATATTTTAAGACTGCAAATGTACAGTACTTAACTGCTTAACTTTTTTGAGCAAGAAAAGAATAACAGAAGTTGAAATCCATGGGTCATCTGTCATCATTCTTTCTGAAAGGTCGCTTAAAGTTAGAATACTGTATCAAAACATATTTATTTTTTTAAATAAGTTTAAATAAACTTTGGAAAAAACAACTTGCATTATGGTATTGTGTACGTTGAGATGCTTTCTTGTTTAGTTATACATTTTTTGGATCAAATGTAATGTTAATAATAATGTTAAAAGACATCCAAACTCAAGAGTGTTAAGAAAATTCAAATTTTGAAAAGTCCCAATTTGGACAAAATGGTCATTGTTTCCCAGTTTTCTTGCCAGGGGCACTTTGTTTTTAATCCTGGAAAATTCCCTCTTAGCGTGTAATACTCAAAGAAACATTTTAAGTGCATGCACCACTTGTTTCAAATGATAAGCATGATTTGAATTTAATGTGTAGCTTGGTTCTTTCATCTTTCAGTGAGATCATCCTGAAGCAAGATGGGCAGAAAGAAGATACAAATTGCTCGTATCAATGACGAGAGGAATCGTCAGGTATTGTCCTTCTTCTTCCTGTATGGCGGGACATCCTGCAAGTTTTGCCTGAAGCAGGATGCGGTAGTGTCTGATTATTAGATTCATGGAAATGGGAAATGAGGACTTTCACTCTTGTTGTATTGCTAACCTCCTGTTATCTAGAAACAGCAAGCATGAATGTCTAAGTTTCTAATGAAAGATGAAGTGGATTTTTGATGAGTGGGTGATGGCCTAATTCTTTTCTTCTTATGGAAATGACAAAACAGTTATATTTTGTTCAAACTTGGTATGATGACAATGATGTTTTTAAATCTCCCCAAAAATGTAAGATCTTGTGTTCCAATTGTCATGTTGCTTGAATATTGCTTTAACTGGCGTAAAAAGAGTTTTAAGTAATACGAAGAGTGTTCGAAATTATTGTACTTATCCAGATGTGAATCTAGTGACACCGTAAATCTTCAGTGTCTATAATTAGGTTTGATGAAGACCTCTTGACATTAGTGGTTAATTTCCAAACATTGACAAGACTTTCAAACAGTGTTAGAAAATAAGCATCTGAGGTGTTGTATAGTATCTCCATCAAAGATCCCCATTTGTTCTTAACATATACCATAAGGATTATTGTTACCTTTAACTGTTTTTGGAATACAAATGGGAGGGAAAAGGCATTATCAGAGCTATATGTCTTCAGGTCATGAGTGACGGGTGACTTACTGGCATTTAATCATAAAAATGATGTTCTTTTGACAACTCTGACCCAAAAATATGCGAAAGTCATAGACACACCAGTAAAACAAAATATATTTCAAAAATTTCTCCGTTGAATAGTGAGCAAACATAATAAATGCTTTCATTGTTTCTTCAGGTGACGTTCACCAAGCGTAAATTTGGTTTGATGAAGAAAGCATATGAACTGAGTGTTCTTTGCGACTGTGAAATTGCCCTGATCATCTTCACCAGCAACAACAAGCTGTATCAGTATGCTAGCTCCGATATGGACAAGGTATTGCTCAAGTACACAGAGTATAACGACACGGTGGTCAGCCAGACTAACAAGGACATTGTTGATGTGAGTACCTCAACTGGTATCTGGGGGAGGGCCACTATATGGTTCCACAATGTTAATCAGTTTCTGTTAATTGTGGTAAATTCTAGGTTTTGATAAAAGGTTACATGAGTTCTTTTGACATCTCACCACCATATGGCTGGAATATTGCTGAGTTCGGCGTAAAACTAAACTCACTCACTCCTTTGACATCTGAAAGACATTAAAAATTGAGGGTTGAAAGTGAAAATTATGGAGCAATTTGTTTTGGGTTGTGTTTTTTTGTCGGATAGTAGATGCAAATGTTCCTATACTGAACGTGTGTGTATTCCAGCTGCTCAGTAAGAAAGAGCACAGAGGCAATGACTCCATGGACGGCGAGGATGAGGACTACACATTGACACCACGCACAGAAGAATCCTACAAGCGGATAGATCAAGAGTATGCTCGGGTCATGCAGCACGGGGGAGTCAAGGTATGCAGAACGGGGTGGATCTGTATCTCAAATGGGGCGGTGGGGTAGCCTTGTGGTTAAAGCGTTCGCTCATCACGCTGAAGGCCTGGGTTCGATTCCCACTTGGGTACAATGTGTGAAACCATTGCAATAGGGGAAAGTTTCATCTAATGAGTACACGGTCTGACTGCCTTGTCTAAAATTTGACTGGATGCATGCTGTTGGGTTAGGCTGCTGGTTGTATAGCTTTTTAGAGGAAGCATTGTTCAGTTGTGTGATTGAATGTGTGTGGGTCAAAAGCAGTGGTATTGTGTTGGGGATGTTCAGGTAGGCAGGGTTGATAGATATGAGATATTGGATATTGGTGGAGGGAGAGGTGTTTTGAAGACAGCATTGATTGTAATGATGGTCAGATTAATTGAAATAATTGAAGAAATCTCAGTGACCAAACGACCAAGCAATCGATCACATTTTCTCTCAATCGAACATAAATGAATTTGTACCCACTGTTTTAGTGCTTGAAACAGTTGATGGTGGAACATATCGTAGAAGTTGTCAGGGCCTGAAAACGTGTTTAATTCTTAGAAAACTGACTTCATTTACTGAAAAGTCATGACTGAATATTTCTTGAAGACTCTATGAGGTTTATGTTCATGATATATTAATCATCACTTTAAAGTAGCAAGTTGCATCATTTTACATTGGATGTGAAATTTACAAGTGCAATTTTCGCAATATCTAAGTAAAACAAAAAACAATAGAGAACCATGTTATACTTATCTGCAATAACAACCTCAACAAGAAAATGTTAAAAATGATGTTAACCAATTTTTTACGATGATTGCTCATTGGTAATAAACCAGTCATCAGTTGTGAGATTTCTACCAATTCCCAACACTAATTAATTGGGGGATGAGTGTTCCCTTAAGCGTTGAGTAGATTTTCCCATATGCTGCATAGGGAGTGAGTGTCAATGGAAAGGGTTCAGGAAAGGTTTATGCCCGGAGTGGCCCTTCCCACAATGGTCCCTGAGCCCCATGTTCACACCTTCTTAACGAGTTGTCCCGGAGTGGACCCTGAATTTGGTTGTTACGTAATAGACAGGGGGGCCACTCTGGGAATACACCTTCAGGAAAGGCTGATGAAGTTCAGGTAAGCTGAATTGAGGGTGGGATGTTGTAGATACAGCAAGCCTTTCAGCTGTTATGAAGATAAGGTAGAAGTACAGAATGGGTATCTTGAATGTGAGATGGAAATGAAACATATGACAAATACAAGGACATTCTCATGAATGGTGATGGTTTCATTTTGTGTTGGAAATAGATGGCAGAATCCAGATTATGATACAAAGTTCCCTGTATCACTTTCCTGTCAACTGTGATGAAAGTAATGGACAGCTACTTTTCATGAATAATTAAGCACCTAATTTAAGGTTGTGAAGTTTAGTGTCATGTGAACACATGAATTGTGATTTCATATTGATAAATGAGGTATGAATATTTTCTTATGAACTCTATTACTCTGCCTAATTTTGTTTGCAAATTTGATAAAATGTGGTAATTGTTTTAAACATAAGTTCTTTGTTTTTCATGCAATATTATATATTTCGACCTTGTTTTTGTCATGTTTTTAACATTTTTCAAAGGCATATGTGGCTTAGGTAGCTGATCTCAAGCCTGTGTATCTTTCTTCGAATGAGAAAGCTAAAGAGTGTCTGTCTTTGTTGACATTTCAAACTGTTCACTACATCTCCAGGTAAGTTACAGTGAAGTGGTTACCATGGGATATTATTTCCAGGCTTACTTGATGTAGCCAGACATTTGCTGACCTGCATTTTACACTATACATATTGGATATCTTGGTAATGTGCTCACAATAACCACTGGTGGTGACATGTTGATGACCCAGCAGTGTGTGTCCTGCTATGCGTTGTATGAGGTTGTCTCTTGCTGCAGAGCCTGGCCACGTACCAGCCAGCATCCATGCCTGTGGCAGTGCCAGTGCAGTCCCAGTTCAGCTCCTCCCAGACCTTCACCACAACAGCTGTCACACAGACCGCCACAGGGGCCAGCGTGGCCCCTACGGTCGTCCTCCTGCAACCCCCTGGGACACCAGTTTCCAATGCAAGTCCCTCAGGAGGATCAGGTCAGTGAGGGTGGTGTAGTTTCTTACTATCCATGTCCTGTATATGAGCACAGATATGCTGATCTCACAAATAGGTGGAGGTATTAAATTTGATCCTTGAAATCTGTATCAAATGATATGTCCGGTAAGTATGCTGGACCATCAACCTACCTTCTTGTCATGATCACTAAACAAATAAAAGTATATATAGAGGATACTAAACAACCTTCCGTGTAATACCAATTTTATTAAACGAGTTAATGATTTGATGCTTAATCTTTCACGAGTTTAAGAAAAATGGTATTTCACGAAAGCTAGTTTAGTATTCTGTTTATTACTCTCCAACATAAATTGATAGAAACTGCCTACAGTGTGCTGACTCTCATGTCAATTTTCCGCGAGTCAAGCAAGGTCTAATACCATTGCAATAGAGGCATTTGCTTTGTGAAGTCATAACTGTAATCATTATGACGTCATATGTCTAGCGGAATTACACTAGTGTAATATTGCCGTAAAAATATTACACTGCAGTATCTTCCACGGGCAAGTAATAATAGATATTACCATTGTTTGGTTATCCTGGATAACACCTGATGCACATTCACTTCTCCTGTTCCAACAGTTCCTGTATTCCGTGGCATTCAGATAAGATGCTAATTGTTGCTGCATCAATATATAAGGATACGTTTTAACAGGTCACATCAAAACAACCATTCTCAAACTTTAAATGACAAATGAAATGTCTTACTGGAAGTCAGCATTAGACAAGTCAAAAACGTCTTTGTCAAACTGTCACCACTTTCAATACAGTATCTTCTATTCTGAACCATGCTATATTTCTTGGACCCTCTCTAAACATTGTGTTGGAGTCATTGGAGTCATTGTCTACTTAACATGTTTTTCTTATTCTGTAACCTCAACAGCAGTGGTTTTTTTGGGATATACTTGTTAAGCTATTTCAGATATATGTCCACAACCTTGTCAACATCATGAGCCATCTGTTTGTTTTATATTCCTGAAAATCAAACTAATAGGCAGACTTTGTTTCAGGAGTCCGATTGACATCCAGCCCTCTACCTGCACGAACGTCGCCAGCACCACCTAGCACCTCGCCAGCCCCTCGAGAATCACCAAGGGAAGCTGCTGGAGAAAAGAAACCAAACCTGAAAGTGCTCATACCAGAAAGACAGTCCAACTTTGTTAGTTCATTCTTCACTCTATTGTTGGGAAAAATGTAATCATATGTTAGAATGGAACTTGTCTTCCACAGTATTATTGTATTGTATATTTGTAGACCGCATCCAAATATCCTTGACCTGATGATTGTAGGTATTTTAGTTATCATTCTCACCTCTCTGGGTAATGTACACCATGTAATGCCCACGGGTCCTATAGGTTTTTACATCAATCTAGTTTGTCTGGTACCCTAATCCCAGAGAGGCATCCTTGTACTTAATCACTTGCCCGTGGACAACAAGTGTTTTGGATGTATCAATCTGTTGGCTGGCAGTATACCCTGATAATGATCCTCACTAGCCTGGCAGTATACCCTGATAATGATCCTCACTAGGCTGTCACTACACCCTGATAATGATCCTCACTAGGCTGGCAATACACCCTGATAATGATCCTTACTAGGCTGGCAGTACACCCTGATAATGATCCTCACTAGGCTGGCAGTACACCCTGATAATGACCCTCACTAGACTGGCAGTATACCCTGATAATGACCCTCACTAGGCTGGCAGTACACCCTGATAATGACTCTTACTAGGCTGGCAGTATACCCTGATCCTGATCCTCACTAGGCTGGCAGTACACCCTGATAATGATCCTCACTAGCCTGTCAGTATACCCTGATAATGACCCTCACTAGCCTGGCAGTATACCCTGATAATGACCCTCACTAGCCTGGCAGTACATCCTTATAATGACCCTCACTAGCCTGGCAGTATACCCTGATAATGACCCTCACTAGCCTGGCAGTACATCCTTATAGTGACCCTCACTAGGCTGCCAGTACACCCTGATAATGACCCTCACTAGCCTGGCAGTATAGCCTGATAATGACCCTCACTAGGCTGGCTGTATACCCTGATAATGATCCTCACTAGCCTGGCAGTACATCCTTATAATGATCCTCACTAGGCTGGCAGTACACCCTGATAATGATCCTCACTAGGCTGGCAGTACACCCTGATAATGATCCTCACTTGGCTGGCAGTACATCCTTATAATGATCCTCACTAGGCTGGCAGTACACCCTGATAATGATCTTCACTAGACTGGCACTACACCCTGATAATGATCCTCACTAAGCTGGCAGTACATCCTTATAATGATCCTCACTAGGCTGGCTGTACACCCTGATAATGACCCTCACTAGGCTGGCAGTACACCCTGATAATGACTCTCACTAGGCTGGCAGTACACCCTGATAATGACCCTCACTAGGCTGGCTTTATATGCTGATAATGACCCTCACTAGCCTGGCAGTACATCCTGATAATGATCCTCACTAGGCTGGCTGTATACCCTGATAATGATCCTCACTAGGCTGGCAATACACCCTGATAATGATCCTTACTAGGCTGGCAGTACACCCTGATAATGATCCTCACTAGGCTGGCAGTACACCCTGATAATGACCCTCACTAGACTGGCGGTATACCCTGATAATGACCCTCACTAGCCTGGCAGTACACCCCTGATAATGACTCTCACCAGGCTGGCGGTATACCCTGATCCTGATCCTCACTAGGCTGGCAGTACACCCTGATAATGATCCTCACTAGCCTGTCGGTATACCCTGATAATGATCCCCTCACTAGCCTGGCAGTATACCCTGATAATGACCCTCACTAGCCTGGCAGTAAATCCTTATAGTGACCCTCACTAGCCTGGCAGTATACCCTGATAATGACCCTCACTAGCCTGGCAGTACATCCTTATAGTGACCCTCACTAGGCTGCCAGTACACCCTGATAATGACCCTCACTAGCCTGGCAGTATACCCTGATAATGACCCTCACTAGGCTGGCTGTATACCCTGATAATGATCCTCACTAGCCTGGCAGTACATCCTTATAATGATCCTCACTAGGCTGGCAGTACACCCTGATAATGATCCTCACTAGGCTGGCAGTACACCCTGATAATGATCCTCACTTGGCTGGCAGTACACCCTGATAATGATCTTCACTAGACTGGCACTACACCCTGATAGTGATCCTCCCTAAGCTGGCAGTACATCCTTATAATGATCCTCACTAGGCTGGCTGTATACCCCTGATAATGATCCTCCCTCACTAGGCTGGCGGTACACCCTGATAATGACCCTCACTAGGCTGGCTTTATACACCCTGATAATGACCCTCACTAGCCTGGCGGTACACCTGATAATGATCCTCACTAGGCTGGCTGTATACCCTGATAATGTTCCTCACTAGGCTGGCAGTACACCCTAATAATGATCCTCACTAGGCTGGCTGTATACCCTGATAATGATCCTCACTAGCCTGGCAGTACACCTTAATAATGACCCTCACTAGGCTGGCTTATACCCTGATAATGATCCTCACTAGGCTGGCAGTACACCCTGATAATGATCCTCACTAGCCTGGCACCTGTACACCCTACCCTGATAATGATCCTCACTAGGCTGGCGGTATACCCTGATAATGATCCTCACTAGGCTGGCTGGTATACCCTGATACCCTGATCCTCACTAGGCTGGCAGTACACCCTGATAATGATCCTCACTGGCCTGTCAGTATACCCTGATAATGATCCTCCTCACTAGCCTGGCGGTATACCCTGATAATGACCCTCACTAGCCTGGCGGTACATCCTTATAATGACCCTCACTAGCCTGGCAGTATGGCCCTGATAGGCTGGCAGTATACCCTGATAAGACCCTCCTAGCCTGGCAGTACATCCTTATAGTGACCCTCACTAGGCTGCCAGTACACCCTGATAATGACCCTCACTAGCCTGGCAGTATACCCTGATAATGACCCTCACTAGGCTGGCTGTATACCCTGATAATGATCCTCACTAGCCTGGCAGTACATCCTTATAATGATCCTCACTAGGCTGGCAGTACACCCTGATAATGATCCTCACTAGGCTGGCAGTACACCCTGATAATGATCCTCACTTGGCTGGCGGTACTAGGCTGGCAGTATAATGATCCTCACTAGGCTGGCAGTACACCCTGATAATGATCTTCACTAGACTGGCACTACACCCTGATAATGATCCTCACTAAGCTGGCAGTACATCCTTATAATGATCCTCACTAGGCTGGCTGTACACCCTGATAATGACCCTCACTAGGCTGGCAGTACACCCTGATAATGACTCTCACTAGGCTGGCAGTACACCCTGATAATGACCCTCACTAGGCTGGCTTTATATGCTGATAATGACCCTCACTAGCCTGGCAGTACATCCTGATAATGATCCTCACTAGGCTGGCTGTATACCCTGATAATGATCCTCACTAGGCTGGCAATACACCCTGATAATGATCCTTACTAGGCTGGCAGTACACCCTGATAATGATCCTCACTAGGCTGGCAGTACACCCTGATAATGACCCTCACTAGACTGGCAGTATACCCTGATAATGACCCTCACTAGCCTGGCAGTACACCCTGATAATGACTCTCACTAGGCTGGCAGTATACCCTGATCCTGATCCTCACTAGGCTGGCAGTACACCCTGATAATGATCCTCACTAGCCTGTCAGTATACCCTGATAATGACCCTCACTAGCCTGGCAGTATACCCTGATAATGACCCTCACTAGCCTGGCAGTACATCCTTATAGTGACCCTCACTAGCCTGGCAGTATACCCTGATAATGACCCTCACTAGCCTGGCAGTACATCCTTATAGTGACCCTCACTAGGCTGCCAGTACACCCTGATAATGACCCTCACTAGCCTGGCAGTATACCCTGATAATGACCCTCACTAGGCTGGCTGTATACCCTGATAATGATCCTCACTAGCCTGGCAGTACATCCTTATAATGATCCTCACTAGGCTGGCAGTACACCCTGATAATGATCCTCACTAGGCTGGCAGTACACCCTGATAATGATCCTCACTAGGCTGGCAGTACACCCTGATAATGATCTTCACTAGACTGGCACTACACCCTGATAATGATCCTCCCTAAGCTGGCAGTACATCCTTATAATGATCCTCACTAGGCTGGCTGTACACCCTGATAATGACCCTCACTAGGCTGGCAGTACACCCTGATAATGATCCTCACTAGGCTGGCTGTATACCCTGATAATGTTCCTCACTAGGCTGGCAGTACACCCTAATAATGATAATGACCCTCCTCACTAGCCTGGCAGTACACCTTAATAATGACCCTCACCTCACCCCTGATAATGATCCTCACTAGGCTGGCAGTACACCCTGATAATGATCCTCACTAGCCTGGCAGTACACCCTAATAATGACCCTCACTAGGCTGGCTTATACCCTGATAATGATCCTCACTTGGCTGGCAGTACACCCTGATAATGATCCTCACTAGCCTGGCAGTACACCCTAATAATGATCCCCACTAGGCTGGCAGTATACCCTGATAATCATCCTCACTAGGCTGGCAGTACACCCTGATAATGACTCTCACTAGCCTGGCAGTACACCCTGATAATGATCCTCACTAGGCTGGCTGTATACCCTGATAGTGATCCTCACTAGGCTGGCAGTACACCCTTATAGTGACCTTCACTAGCCTGGCAGTATACCCTGATAATGACCCTCACTAGCCTGGCAGTATACCCTGATAATGACCCTCACTAGCCTGGCAGTACACCCTGATAATGACCCTCATTAGGCTGGCTGTATACCCTGATAAAGACCCTCACTTGGCTGTCACTACACCCTGATAATGATCCTTACTAGGCTGGCAGTACACCCTGATAATGATCCTCACTAGGCTGGCAGTACACCGTGATAATGATCCTCACTAGGCTGGCAGTAAACCCTGATAATGACCCTCACTAGCCTGGCAGTACACCCTGATAATGACCCTCATTAGGCTGGCTGTATACCCTGATAAAGACCCTCACTTGGCTGTCAGTACACCCTGATAATGATCCTTACTAGCCTGGCAGTACACCCTGATAATGATCCTCACTAGGCTGGCAGTACACCCTAATAATGACCCTCACTAGGCTGGCTTATACCCTGATAATGACCCTCACTAGGCTGGCAATATACCCTGATAATGATCCTCACTAGCCTGGCAGTACATCCTGATAATGATCTTCACTAGGCTGGCAGTACACCCTGATAATGACCCTCATTAGGCTGACAGTACACCCTAATAATGACCCTCACTAGGCTGGCTTATACCCTGATAATGACCCTCACGAGGCTGGCAATATACCCTGATAATGATCCTCACTAGACTGGCAGTACACCCTGATAATGATCTTCACTAGGCTGGCAGTACACCCTGATAATGACCCTCATTAGGCTGGCAGTACACCTTGATAATGATCCTCACTAGGCTGGCAGTACATCCTTATAATGATCCTCACTAGGCTGGCTGTATACCCTGATAATGATCTTCACTAGACTGGCACTACACCCTGATAATGATCCTCACTAGGCTGGCTGTATACCCTGATAATGATCCTCACTAGGCTGGCAGTACACCCTGATAATGATCCTCACTAGCCTGGCAGTACACCCTGATAATGACCCTCACTAGGCTGGCTGTATACCCTGATAATGATCCTCATTAGGCTGGCAGTACACCCTGATAATGATCTTCACTAGGCTGGCAGTACACCCTGATAATGATCCTCACTAGGCTGGCTGTATACCCTGATAATGATCCTCACTAGGCTGGCTGTATACCCTGATAATGATCCTCACTAGGCTGGCAGTACACCCTGATAATGATCTTCACTAGGCTGGCAGTACACCCTGATAATGATCCTCACTAGGCTGGCTGTATACCCTGATAATGATCCTCACTAGGCTGGCTGTATACCCTGATAATGATCCTCACTAGGCTGGCTGTACATCCTTATAGTGACCTTCACTAGCTTGGCAGTATACCCTGATAATGACCCTCACTAGGCTGGCAGTATACCCTGATAATGACCCTCACTAGCCTGGCAGTACACCCTGATAATGACCCTCATTAGGCTGGCTGTATACCCTGATAAAGACCCTCGCTTGGCTGTCAGTACACCCTGATAATGATCCTTACTAGGCTGGCAGTACACCCTGATAATGATCCTCACTAGGCTGGCTGTATACCCTGATAATGATCCTCACTAGCCTGGCAGTACACCCTAATAATGACCCTCGCTAAGCTGGCTTATACCCTGATAATGACCCTCACTAGGCTGGCAATATACCCTGATAATGATCCTCACTAGCCTGGCAGTACATCCTGATAATGATCCTCACTAGGCTGGCACTACACCCTGATAATGATCTTCACTAGACTGGCAGTACACCCTGATAATGATCTTCACTAGGCTGGCAGTACACCCTGATAATGACCCTCATTAGGCTGGCAGTACACCTTGATAATGATCCTCACTAGGCTGGCAGTACATCCTTATAATGATCCTCACTAGGCTGGCTGTATACCCTGATAATGATCCTCACTAGGCTGGCAGTACACCCTGATAATGATCCTCCCTAGGCTGGCAGTACACCCTGATAATGAGGTGTTTTCTCAACATGTTGAATTAAGCTATGCTTTTGACAACAAACAGAAGAACTGGTCTCTTAGTTGCTTCTTCCCATTAAATGAACATATTTTTTCACAGGGTCATCCTCGAACGACGTTGGAAACTCCTATTGTGTCAACTATGGCTACCCCGGCTGCTAATACGAATCCGTCCATACCAACGTCCCTTCTGTCTGGTGAGAAACAATTGTTCCAGTTCATGAAATTTTATACACTGTTGTGACGGTCATGGTCTAAAATAAGTTGCTGTCTTAAATTGGTTTTTACACATTGATAGCCCTTTTAGCCATACTTTGTGAAATGGGGACAAGTTTTCTTGAATTCTGTTGAAGTTAGAGACCTGAAATTTAACACACTGATGTTACTGGTCATGATCTAAAATGTGTTCACAAAATTACATTCTTAAATGAATTTTTCATTGAGTTGTGACCCTTCTTCCATACTAACTTAAAGCAAAATGCATGACTTGGAGACAAGTCTTCTGAGGAACTGGGGCGTCGGGGTAGCCTAGTGGTTAAAGCGTTGGCTCGTCACGCCAAAGACCCGGGTTCGAATCCCCACATGGGTACAATGTGTGAAGCCCATTTCTGGTGTCCCCCGCCGTGATGTTGCTGGAATATTGCTAAAAGCGGCGTAAAACCAAACTCAGTCAGTCTGAGGAACTAATGAGGGCACATTAATAACAGTTTGTGTGCTAAGAGGTACATGTGAAGACAGACTGAAAATTAGTGTTGTAAAAAAGTACACAGATGCAGCCCTTGATCACTGGTGTTTGCTCATCACCTGAAGATCCGGGTTTGATACCCCACATGGGTACAATGTGTGAAGCTCATTTCAGGTGTCCCCCACCTAAACTCAAACTAAACTCACTCACCTTGATCAGTGATACTTAATGTAATGCATGATGTTTGCAACGGGGACATGTTTTCACAGTAACAACTTAACTACTGAATTATTTTTATCCACATTTATCCTGAACATAGACAGTTATGCCCCTTTTCCTTTTTCCAATTGACTATAAACATTTGTGTTACTGTAGTTTGGGTTTTAGGCCGTATTTCAAGGATTTGGTCATACCTGCCAGAAACCAGGTTGATGCATCGAAACATTAGACGCCATTTGCAATCATTATTTTCTCTTGTGTCGACATGACCAGACATGTCTTTCAAACCCCTTCCTCATCGTAATTCCGTTTCTGTGTTTTGGGTTGTTGTTTTTTTGTCTCTCAGTGTTTCACAGTTTGCTTCCATTTCTAATGTATAAAATATTAAGTCTATGGGAATTATCTAAATCATTTTGTCGATCATGTGTAAGCAGGGTAACCTATGGTTTCAACAAACTCAAAGAGACAACACATTTTACTTTGTTATAGGAATGCATTTCAACTAAAACATACGGCAACTAGTTTAGACCGAATAGTAATTTGTTACAAGTGAATTAGGGACCGTTCATAATTTATGGCTAGGAGGGTTGATGATGATTTTTATGGAGAAGCATGTACAATGTGAATGACAACAACAAACCACCACACACACCCACACCACACCCCACCCCACCACACCCCCTTAAAATTTATGTACAAAATAAGTGAACCCCCCTGCATGTCATAAACAAAATCAATTACAACCCAGCCCACCCCACCCCACCCCTAGCCATAAATTATGAACGGCCCCTTAGTTATAAACTTAGTTTACTGTATGATGGTAATATCAAGACGTGTGGAGTCTGTCATTCCTACATGTCGTCCTACATGTTGTTCTTTTGTGTCTTGTCATGGCCTTGCAGTAGATTTATCCTCATAGAAAGTTCAGCTATATATAAATTCACTGTTAGATTTAATCTCGCTTTGTAAAAACGTGTTTGAAGAGAATTCTTCGTGTACAGGTTGTCATGTTTTGTTCGTTTGCAGGCGAGTTCCAGTTAACAAGTGCAGACCTGACAGGATTGTCTCCCCTTGTCCAATGGTCAAGTGGGCAATGTCCTGGCCCTCTTACAGCAGCTGTTCAAGCATCGGGTCTACAATTCACTCCAGGGTATGTCACTGTCACTGTTACCCATTCTCCAGTTTGCCATTGATGAACCACCAGCACAACTTGTTTGTTGAGATGACAGACACTGTCACTTGCAGCAATCCTCAGAATAATTTATTATTCGGAGATATGACTGGAATACTGCTGACTTATGTGTAAGACAACATTCACTTTTTCACTGTCCTACATAATTGCATGGGAACACTGATCTTTATAATTTTATCAATTACAAGTAGTGATCTTGTCATTTCATTGTTTCAGAGGTTCATTAACATTTGCCACAACATCAGGAGTGCCCATCTTAACAACCACATTACCCGTTCGAACAGCAGGAATGGGTATAAAAACTGAGCCGGTGTCACCTAACTCCTCGAATGCCCAAGCTAGACCCACACCTTCTCCTGGAGCATCAGATGAACCGCCAGAGAAGCGGACACGAGATGGTTGATGCAACCGTGCTCTAGGAGGAATGTAAATTATGGGGTGCATTTTGAGATATATAGCACTGATAGGGGATGTGAACCTGTTTGATACAAGTGTATATTGTGTACTAATGGAAGCTATAGCTCATCAATGGAACATACAACTCAACTCTTGATGGGGATCTTCAGACAACAGTTTGGGATTCGGTCATAAAACTGCAGTTTCAGCTTTGTGTCAGCTTTAAGAAAAAGAAAAGACACAATTATTTTGGTAATTGTCATCTAGTTTTATACCAAACATAAATATCTGAGAATCCTATCGAGTGTTGTGTAGTATACATCTAGATAACTGCTCACATTCTGTTTCTTGTACAGTACGGTAATGATGCTAACAGTATAATGAAATAAACTCTTTGTCACATGTCTATATAGCTAACACAGCCCATAGCACTTCAATATCTGCCATTCTAATGACATTTACAGGATGAATTCAATTATGTGAAATTAATGATATTCACTGGACATTTATTGACTATTGATACCATTTTCATGTAAACATCTTAAATTGCATTGGCATTTATTGCCAGCTGATTCTAACATTTCCAACTTTGCCAAGTACAAGAGAGGACCCATCTGTGATGCTACGAATGCCTTACTCACCTGCGTGGGACTTGTTGAAAAATGTATTATCATCTGAGACCCTTACTGTCTCTCAGACTTTGTTAACAAATTTTGACATCTCTTTGTCTACGTGTCAACTTTTACAAAATGAGATGAAAAATGTTCAAATTGATTTCTATAAGAATGTATCTGGCGAAATTGAGAAATGGCATCTTGTTTTTATGTATGTAAAACATTGTTAAGTTTTATGTGTATTTTATCACCGTTACTTTGGGGGCACATTGTAAGCTTGATCCTGAAACCTTTTAGAATTTCTAATCGTACAATTTGTTTATGCTGTTTATGTACAGTACAGTACAGTATACCAAGTTTCATTATCAATAGTATTAGATAGGGGTTCGAAGCATCTCCCTCCACCAGTGCTATGTATAATATTAGTGTACAGTTTCTGATTGATAACACACTTTCAGAACTCCGCCACTGCAGGGTTGGAGGCAGCTGACACCGCCAAGTCTGTATCTCTAGAGAGGAATGTCTCAGTCTCTTTTGTTTCAATTAATTGACTGACAACCTATTGGAAATGTACTCAAGGCTACCCACAATGCCTGTCTGTTGTTTCCACCCTTGTAAGGAACTGGTCACTTGCTATGTGAATCATGAGACTTTGACAAATAACACCATTAGTGCCCAAAACTGATGGGAATCTTCAGTACTATTCCCACACTGTTGTTCTGACTGTATAACCCATTTGGAGAGGTGATGTTCTTTGCTTTCAGTATTTTGACCATACAGAAATCCTTTCAAACATGTTGAAGGACCCACTCATCTTTATAAAAACAAAAACTGGAGGAAGACATTTAAACCTGAAAAACATGATATATTTTATTAAGTTATGTGTTCACCGACAGAAAACTAAGTACAGTTAATGTCAGAATACAAAACTGAATATACTGTCTTGACTGACAAGCTGTTCAATATGTGAAGATAACTTGTGAACGGGAAGATACTAAGCCTGAGTTTTGAATCATTGTTATTGACAAGATTTAAAGAACAACTACAATTTAAAAAGTGTCCCTTCCATCTATAACCAAAAAAATTAATTTTATTTATAATTTTATTGTTTTTAAAAGATGTTTTACAGTCTATTCCGAAAACTCAACAAAGGACATTCAGGTTACAATACAATACAAGCATATGATGTACAAATCATGTGAACAGTTTGGGACATGAAGACCAGAACTTATAAAAGGCGCTGATATTACACTCCATTAAAGAAGAGCACTTTGTTATCATATAATAATGTCTAATTTCATTCTGGAAAACATGGAATGGTGGCACACTGTTTTTTTAATCTTCTTCCAAAAATTAGGTTTTTAAAGATGATAATAATAATATTGAGAGGGTCATTGTTTTTGTCTGGGAAACCGAGCAATACCTGTTTTCTTGATACTTTGATATTGACATCGATAACAAATGACCAGTCCCTGGGGCAGTGTAAATTATCAGGTGTATTGTAGATACACACTTGCATGTGTGAGAGTGTGGGTTGTTATTTTGTGTTATTAAGGATTGTTAACCTATACCATGTAGGGTTATTACTCGTATATCCCCCCAGATTTTCACAGACTTCATGTTATATATACAAAGCAATATTTGTATGTCATCCATGTTTTATCAGGAATACATTTGCCATCAAGTACCTAATGTCATTTATATATCTATGTTAACTGCATTTGAAAATGCATAATATGTTTTAGGAGCCAATGTACTTAAACTCTGTGTTCATTTGGTGTAATCTTTTACATTGTTTCAAGAATTGTTACTTCTGAATTTTATCAAATGTAATATCCAAAAGAACAGTGAAAAGTGAGTTCTGATCTTAACAGATTAAGTTCATTAAATGATAGTGATTTCATGCTAGAAATCTTGAACTTGTTCCAAACTTTGGCTACTGGAATTCCAGCTTTAGGTAAGTTTAATTTTCTGACTCCTACAACCAACACTTAGTAGACATTTGAGACCAATCCTCAGTCAAAATTAAGAATATAAGAACTAAACCTGCAGTATACTGTTCCTTCTTCTGTGACATTCATACAAAATCTAAGACCATGGATAGTGGCAACATTGTGTCAAGATGCCAACTCTTTAGTTTGGGTATTGTTGCGAAAAGACTAAATGTGGGTACAATTATCATTTATCTGACAAATGCTTTTGTCAAAAATTGCAATGAGTCTTAATTAGTAATGAAAAAATCAGCAAGACTAAAGCCTAATAAATGTACCGAACAGTAAATGACACCATACTTTTTGAAATCAGATGATGAGCAATAGCAGGCTAGTGCAACAGTTACAAACTCTTGGTGGAACGATTCTTTTGAAAATGTTATAAGATTCCATAACTGCTTCTCACTGTGGATGTAGTCATAAAGTACAGGGGTATATGATTACTATTTTAGTTTTTTGTATCAAAATTACTCATTTTAATGGATTTTAATAAGAATTTTTACTAAAACCACAGAATATATGGCTGGCATCTCGTCATTGAATAACTGGTTGGACTTAGTCTGACTGGGTGAGATCTCGGACTCAAGAATATACAGTTATACTCCCCCGTTAGTTCCTGGTGAAACATGGACATGTCCCTTGATGTGCTCAGTTGATTAACACTCTATTCATTACGTGTGTGTATATGTAGAAAGGCAAATCTATTTTTGAAAACTATAAGAAGAGTTGTTATACAAATCAGTTTTGTTCGGCAGACCTTGTCCTACTTACCATTTACACTCATATTTTGAGTCTCACTCTCATGTAACAGAAACGTCTTTAATCATCAGATTGTTGTATTACTCTTGTGAATATTTTGGTTTGACATTTTTCATCCATTAGATTACTAGACTTGTACAGAAGTGTGATGTATGTAGGCAGGTGTTATTGACTAGCTTATTTCTTATGATAGTGTGACAAGTATTACCACATGTAGATTTCACTTGTCCTATTGGTTCAACCTTCTGACATTGTATCATACATACTGTGTGCATATCATGTATATCTTCATAGCTGAACAGGAAATATACACTTTTTATATCCACCTGACTACACTTGATCATCTGACTGGCGCAGGTGATGTTCTCGTGCCATATACTACACCAGTGCACCTTTACACCATGCAGTCTTAGAACTAAGATAATTGTATCTTGAGCTGACAATCATCATAGCTCTGAGATGACTTTGTGTAATGGGGCCAAGCACTAGACAGTTTGTGATTTTCTAAATGTACTCCTCATCAGCTATAAACACATTTCCCTTGTATGCCTTTTAGGCCTATATGTCCCATTGACAGTGCAGCATCTCAACACCAGTAATGGAGCCATGTCATGCAATCATCACAGATTTAACCTCCATATCATTCAAATATAAGAAAATAACATTGACTATTTTTGTTTTCATTTTTCATACGTTCATTTATCATTGCTAAAGGTTGTGCAGAAATAATTTGCCTTAATCTTGATGCACATATTTGGATAATGCCATCATGGTGTAATGATTATACAGAGTAGGGAGGATCGCTGGGCTCTCTGCAATGTTCATGTTTTACAGCAGTTTCTGGACAAGAGGTAATTATAGTCTGTTATTGACTAAACATTATTATAAACATTTGTAATTGATAGATATATCAAGGCAGTTTATATAAATGTGATGATGAAATTTTACCTGGTTATGTTTTATCAATATTTCATTCACATTTCATTTTACAACAAACCAGTCCTCTTTTTTAACACAATTAGAAAGATGGAAATGATAAAAGTAGCCACTGCAAGAAGTGCTGTATGTTTCAGTAATGAGTACCAAACATTATTTTGTGAAAATGGCTGAGGTGTTATTTTGGATAATTGTCAGAGTATTTTCATTATTAAGTGTAACCTTTGCAAAGAAGAGTCATAGACCAAAGGAGACACTACTGTGCCTGTCTTTGATGCTGTCCGAACACAGGATGTTACTGCTGTTTGGAACCAGGCCCACTGAGTGAGGACTCAAAGTTTCCAGGGAATAACTCACTAACATGGATGTTTGTCATTCCGGACTTTCATATGGAACAGGTTTTTTCTTTGTACATTGAATTTTTAAAGCAGAGACTATCTGTTGAAGAAAGATAGTCTCTGATTTGTGCTTCTTCTTTTCTATTTCTAAATATTGCACAAAAATGCTTGCATGTCACCTCATATTTTCAGCAGAAGCTGTTTTTCTCAGTGGAATAGGTCAAGTCCCTGGCTAGAGTAAATTCTCTATTTTAGCACCATATTTAGGTCTTGTTAAGTATACATTATGTTTGATGCATGCCTAAGATAATTGTAATTTGTGACAGTGGTCATGGGTGTTCTGAAAGACCACAGTTTGCTGTGCAGAGTTGTGTCCCTTTACCACGACAAAATCTCTCTCTTTACAGAAAATCTGTTGTAGGACAGACATTAATACAGTTCAGAGTGGTTTAAGTCAGTTGCAGAAAACATACACGGTTAGAAATTCATTTATATTTTCACCAGTTTGCAAGGAATTATCAGAGTGCACATGTCACATACAGAGAAAGTAGTAGTCGGCAATGAAATGTCCTTGAATTCTACTGGTGTCAGATTACTGGACTACAGTTTTCATGAACAGTAAGTAATGTTAAAAAACAAGCTCTCATATATTATCAGTACTGACACACAAGCAACACATGATGGTACACATACAAATGATCAAATTATATATGTCATTACTATTTGAACTACACAGGTAAGTGACTGTTGTGTTGGTCCTGTTTTATAAACAGTGGATAGTTGTTGTGATATAAGTGATGCCGGTGTAAACTGGTGGCCAGGGAGTTTGTACAGTACTAACAGATGTGTGTCCTACTGTCCTCACGACTCACCTTCATAGATCTGACATGGTCATGAGACTGGGAGGAGGAAGACGTGCATGATTTGATGGAACATAAGTACTTCGTATTTGGTGCTTCGCGTGACATGTATCTTATTCAGACTTTTTCATAATACCTAGTGAATCATCAATCAGTTTTCTGTCATATGAGGTTAGATACATACTGGTAGTCAATAAATGCCTTTTGTACATATTTATTTGTTGTGTTGTTCATGAGAAGCTGAGTTCTTTTCTGACCCGTGAAGGTCCGGGTTAGATTATTGATGACACGTCATCGGTTCCCAATTGCGCAGATCGATGCACATGCTGTTGATCACTGGATTGTCTGGACCAGACTCCATTATTTACAGACCGCCGCCATATAGCTGGAATATTGCTGAGTGAGGCCTTACCACCTGATACAACCAGCAAGGCATCATACCAGTTCTGATCTGGAATCCCCACAGGAGTGATGGTTGTCCAATTTCAGTCAAAGAGATCACACACCCTTGGTCACATCCAACTGGTCCAGAGCTCATATCAAACTGTTCGGTTTTGCAAAATATACACATTTTGGTGCAAAAGATGGGGTAGCCTTGTGGTTAAAGTGTTCGCTCGTCACGCTGAAGACCTGGGTTCGATTACCCACATTGGTACAGTGTGTGAAGCCCATTTGTGGTGTCCCCAGCCATGATATTGCTGGAATATTGCTAAAAGTGGCGTAAAACTAAACTCACTCACTCATTGGTGGAAAAGAACTTATCCCTCATGTTCTCCAGGCTGGGACAAATGGACAAGCAGCATTGTTAACCCGGGAGATACAGAATGCCTCCTCATGTTCCTTCAGTGTGTCAGCACCCTGAAGAACTGGATGTCTTTTAACAGTCTTCGAATGTTAGAATATCTCCATGCCTGTAAACATGGAAAGCACATGAGGGGTAATGACAACTGCAGAAGGATTTGATAAGTGTATAGTGTGGTAAGGCAGGATGATTGATAGGGAAGGGTTTGGTGCAGTTGCTAAGGCAAGTTTGCTGCTTGAGCAAGAGGTCTTGGTATGACGGATCACAAGAAAAGGCAGATTTCTTGGTCAGGTGGCTAGCTGTACTTTGTGCTAAACAATCTTGGGTCTGGAAATTTGGGTAATTCTTTATGTTATTTTCTTTGATTTGTTTTCAACTTAGCATACAATACGACTGCTTTGGAAATATTTCACTAATACAATGTAATGCATGCAGAGTGTGTAATTCTCGTGAATGAATAAATAGATTTTGGTGAGTTTATGTTATGTATGTGTTATGAGTTTTATGTGTATATTAATAATACCGTTTCCTTAATCAGGGGTAATGTAAAACTTAAGATGATGGTTAACAAATCAGAGAATTTGAATACGAACAGTGTGAGGTTTCGTGGAACTTACTGGACGGGAAAAGCACCGACAAGGGGCACAACTCCGAAGTGGCTGCAGGGGGAAAAGTTAGCTGTTGGTGTTGACAGAAGCGTTTGTAAAATCCGCCCCAGCTCGACCAGAGCAAATGATGCGGGAATCTAATGATGAATATTTATCCTCCGTCCAAACGGGGATGTAGAAACGGGCTCTGTCCGTCACATTTCCGGAGCATAACTCATAAGCCGTTCATTATTTCTTCATGAAACATTGTAAGCAAATGTCTCCTCGTACATCATTCAAGCAACCCTACAGGGATTCTTGGCTTGTGTTGGGCGACGGCTGAATGCACATGTGGTCTCTTGGTGGATGTGCGACGCTGTCTGCTCAGGGTTAATTGCAGAATTATTCAGATAACATAATAATTATGTGATGAGTTTTGAAAATAGTATCTGTAGCATTGAGCAGTTGAAAAGTTCTGTCTACAGACAAGTAGCCTTACTACTTCAGCTTCTCATCGCTGGAAGGTGGGCGTTTAAAGCATAGACGGAGACGAGAGGTTAGACATCAGTCAACATGACAGTTACACACACAAACTTGGATGAATATATATATTTGGTATAAGAGATTTGTCTCTTCCACACACATTTAAAATAAGTTAAATAGCATGTCGAATACAGAGGGACGTCCTCGTGAACCTGCCCCGACCTTCCCGAAATTGAAGGGGCGGATGTACGATTAGCACTTTAATCACTTTTTATGCATTATGGCTGTTAAAAATGTTTCTTTGTGTTTTAAGTTCAAGAGAAACCATACTTATTTTTACCGTTCACGAAAGAGAAAATCCAATAGCTCCCTTGCTTGCTTCCCAGGGCCAGTAATCACAATACTGGGTTAGGTAAAAACGTTAATTGGAAATACTTATCATCTGTTGATCAATCTGAAGCCGCTAAAGCTCACATGGATCCCGGGATTCTGTGCCGTTTACTATTGTTGTATGTGTGTATGTATCTACAGGTGTCTATAAGAGTAAATATAACTTAATATATGTTCCGTCACTGAAACTGACATGCTTTTATCGCCCCCTGTATGCACATACTAGTTTGGTGCAGCAGTATTTCAATGGCTGGTGTTTTTTCAGACATGTGTTTTGAGCAAAAGCAACCTACACATATTTGTAGAGAGAGAAATGTAGCAGACGACTTTCACAAAAGCTCCGTTGGGGAGCCTGCTCAGAATACATATTCCTTCCTACCGTCAGTGACGTCTGAATATGTACTGATCTGATGTTTCCTAAAATTACAATTAATTTCCTCATCAGAGTGTCTTTCGTTGCTGTTATTCGTATTTTATTCATCATACATTTGCAACACCCTGGCTATGACGTCACCACCCAATGTGAGATGGACTTTCACAAAATTGATTCGGAAATTAAGACGGACACGGTTACCGAAATAGAGAGCGAAATGACCCGTCCTATAGCGCGGCCAGCGGCCACCGACTAGGGCCTAATCAGTATTTTATTTGAGGTTGTTTCCCGTGGTTTTGGCTGTAAAACACACTGATTGGAATTTACGGTGCCTGAAGATGGGAGAGTCGTATGTATTGATGTACACTGGCGAGACAGACTAGAAAAACAACTGCTACACTTGACTTAAAGGCGCACTACCTAAACTTGAGTTGGGAATGTTTCTGGTCAGTGTAGATTCTGCAGGAAACAGAATGTCATAGTTAAGCGAGATACATATTTCATTTACTTTTGACACTAAACTTGTTGCCAAAGTTTGAAAATCACCGAATTTGGATTTGTGCTTGATGTATAAATGAATTAATTGTAATTAGCCGGCGTTGTTATCAGTATGTTATGTCCAGTGGAAACACCGAAAGCTGTACAGGTGGTAGCCATTGGGAAAACACGAGCACGATGATCGTGCGGACAAACCAACCTTGAACATCTGAATTAATCTGGGATTCGAACCCACAGTCAGAGACACCTAGCACCTGAGGACACAACACTGTAGATCACGCTGCAGTCCTTAGGGCAGTTGTATATACCATAGTGACATGTTTAACGCGGCCGACTGCGGTTATGTAGTTGGATGACGCTGTTGTTGACGTAATCAGCCTTAGGTCATCTCCACTTTTTAACCAATTTTCCACCCAAATGGAGTTCGCCATACAGCGCAAAAATAAACTAAGATAAAACGAAAACATTATTACTTTTGTGTGGAAATAGCTGTATATTGGCCAGCGCATACCCCCCATTGTTACCCATAAGCATTAACAATTTCAGTGAACAATGAGAACATCTCCTCAGCCCGTCTCCGTGGCGCGACCGGACAGCCACTCACACCAGCTTTAAAGGAATTAGCCCCAGCATTTCGATTGTAGGATGCAGAGCAATATTCGCCGGTCACATTTGCTGAAGGTAAAGTCAATTAGCATGGGCCGCTGACCGCCATGAAATATAGATGTTTTGGAGTGAGGGGCACAACCAGCGACGCCGTCGCTGCGACTTCTTCGGCCTCGGGCTCCCTGTCCAGCATGGCTGACTGGGCTTCTGCACCTGCCGCGTTCTCATCCTGGTCCACACAACCCCGCCGCCACATCAGGTGGTCTAGATTAATTTTCTTTATAATAAAAGTAAATTCAATAGAAGTTTACCCCCACACATTACCCACCTATAGCTGACCTGGTGGAATGTGAAGGACCTTGTGTCTGTCGCTGCTGTTGGGGAGCGGGATCACTTGTCTGGGTTCCCTGTCGCTACTTCTTTAGGTGAGACGCTGGAATAGATGGAAGTTAGTCATGATGCAGATGGTCTGATGAAACGTCCTTAACCTACATATGGCATAGGTATGGCATATTTAGAAATACATGTAATTAACTACGAGAAATTACATTGTAAGAGCCTTGACGGTTGTAAGAGCCTTCGCGGACAAACAAAACGGAATTCCATGTTTCCTGTTTATTCGCTATGCAACGCATTGTCCTTTCAAGAAAGAAGACAAGCGTCTTGTGACGTCTTGAACACATTATGATGTCATAAGGTAATGTGTGTGACGCTATTATCGGCATTATCGCTTCATATGACAAATCTACATGGTGGTTTTAGTTTGGGTAAACGTTTACATGCTGCACCACATATCTTTTTCTGTAAGATATAACTTTGAAACTGATTGTCTCTTTTATAGGGGACCCGTGAAGGTCCGGGTTAGAATTGATCTTCAGTATCCCATGCTTGTCGTAAGAGCAGTGTGCGAAATGGTTTCCAAATTTTGCTAGCCAGTCAGGCTAGCTTTGCCTGAAAGTTACTAGCTCACAAAACAATTCACTGGCCCGAAATTTGAATGTAGAAACTAAGCCGAAGATTACAAAATTTGATGAGAATAAGATATTGTCGGCATGACAAAGGTTTCATCATTAAGCTGCTGATATGATGAACATTTTTATCAGGCCATCATCTTGCATGATTTAAAAGTGTATAATAACTTAAGAAGTCGAAGAGAGTGATATATTTAGTATCATTTACAAAATGACCCCATGAAAATTCACTAGCCAGTCGGGCCAGTGAGTGTAGAGATTTACTGGCCCAACTGGATTTTTACTAGCCATAGGCTAGCGGGCCTGTGGCTATTTCACACACTGCGTAAGAGGCGACTAACGGGATCGGGTGGTCAGGCTCGCTGACTGGGTTGATCGATGTTCATGCTGTTGATCCTTGGAATGTCTGGTCCAGACTCGATTATTTACAGACCGCCGACATATAGCTAGAATATTGCGGAGTGCGGCGTAAAACTAAACTCACTCACTCCCTTTATATGGAT